ATTTACTAGACATTGCTGTAATGTTATCTCCTTATGCCTTGATTTTTGCATAGTGTCCACCCTCTCAAGAAACTGGCCTGAAAACTTAAAAAGTGTTACCGGCTGAAACAGGGTGGATTATTCACATAGTTCACACCAAGAGGCTGGAAACTTACCTGAGCTTTAGATTTGGTCCTCTTTGTGCATCCTAATGCTTCCAGTCATGAATTTTCTACTCTTGCATTGATTCTGTGACTTTTCTCCTTACATTATAGGCTTCAGGTGACAAGGCCAGACCTTCAGGAGCTCTTTTCCTTCTTAACCTTTCAGGCTGCATTTTATGTAGCTGCCATCCAGTAAATAGAGGTGTTCAGCTAGAACTCTCCTTCCAAAATGACTCTACATTTCTAAAACTTAGATAAAAATAATTGTTAAAATAATAAAGCATCATATTTAAAATATTCATAGCTATTTGATACAAATATAGTGAATCACAGTTTGAGCCAGAGCCAAATTTTCAGACGTACTAACACCTTGGTTTGGTCTGGTACCTTTCTTGCTAATGTTCAACTGCTATGAGCCATTGCATGATTAAACCCTGCTTCTGTTTCCCAGACCTAAGTAGAAACAGTTGCCCTGATCTTTATCTTAAAATTATAAGTCTTATACAGTTTTAAACTTCATATACATGGCTCCAGCCCTTCAGGGATTTAGAACAGGCTTATAAGTGATTTTCTTGTGGCTTTAATATTAAGTCTTTAAACTACCTACACATAACTTTCCAGAGAGACCATGCTAAGTTGCCTTCCTAGAATTCCCAGTGGGCTCTCAAAGTGATTCCTGCTGACTCTGTTTCCCTCCCTCATTTTTTAAGTGACCAGAAGCTCCTTTCCTTTATGTCAAAAGAGTCCACCAAACCAATGAAGTACATAGAGGAAGAAGACTGTTGGTTGCCCTCGGAATAGATTGTCCATTCCAATATGGAGGATTTTTTTCCTTCCATGTGAATCTTCTCTTTCATGTTCCAAGATCTAATTAGACTTAAATGCTTACAAGTTTGTTTGTTTGTTTGTTTGTTTGTTTGTTTTAACGTTTATTTATTATTGAGAGACAGAGAGAGACAGAGCATGAGCAGGGGAGGGGCAGAGAGAGGAGGAGACACAGAATCCGAAGCAGGCTCCAGGCTCCGAGCTGTCAGCACAGAGCCCGACGTGGGGCTGGACCTCACAAAACACGAGATCATGACCTGAGGCGAAGTCGGACGCTCAACCGACTGAGCCAGCCAGGCGCCCCAATGCTTAAAACTTTCTATTAACTCCCAAAGCTGCACCACATCTCCTTACAAGGCTGCTTCTCCTTGTATTTTGTTTTGTTTCTCAAGAAGCCAGGTCTTCTTTTCCACCTGAAACATTTTATAAAACATATTTCAATAGAACATGAACAGTTATTATTCAAAAATAAATCATTTCTTCCAAAATTTTCAAGATTGTATCTTTGAACAACTTCTCATTAACCACTTGCCAGATCATCTGGTGGCAATCCCACTAATCCTTAGCTCTTCTTTTAGGAAGTCTCCCTGAATCCTTAGCCTGGAATCGGAAACCCTTGATTCTCATCCTTCCACTTGGAGTTCCCCACATCAGTCAATGATGCATGTCTCAGTGGCAACCAAAGTTCTGTTTCCAGAATTTTCCTGTGTTCCTTGCTTTTTCTAGATATCCTTCCACATTTGTTACTGATTTTCATTTTGTTTTGTTTGTGATAATTTCCTCAATGATTTCCTTTTTTTTTTTCCTTTGGCTAGTTATATGCAACATTATTCTCTGATTACAAACCCTCTCCAAGTTGACTTTCAGAGACTTGGCTTCTCAAGAGCTAGTAGCTCATAAGCATAATGAAACATTTTGGAAAAAATACATATATATATATGTATTTTATATAATATATAATATATAATGTATATTTTAAGTTATATCTTCTAGAATATCTATTTGTAAGGAAGTATAGGCCTGATTTGAGATTTAACATCCAATCTTAATCATTTGATTCTAATTACATTTACAACATGCCTAAGAGTTTCAAAGGGCAAAGAACTGAAGAGTGAAAAAATTCACAGGAAGAAAAATATCTCCATGTTGGAAAAACCAGTCTATTCTGTGTGTGTGTGTGTGTGTGTGTGTGTGTGTGTGTGTGTATGCATGCATACAATCAAACTGTATATATTTGATTTGTAAAATATTTAGGAAGCACCTTCTATCCACCAAAAACACAAATCCATGTACTAAAGAGGAAAAAGAGAAAGCTATTTCTCCTATTCTCCTATCCTCAAACCTATCACAATCTAACAAGAAAAAGAGATACATAAAATTAAGCATAATATGTGTGTAGTAAATCTTGTTTTTATATGAATAGAGGGCTTCGGGAACACAGGAACAGGTGTATTTAATTGATTATTCCTGAGGAATTTTGAGTTAACTTTGCTAAATATTTTTTTAAGTTTATTTATTTTGAGAGAGAGAGAGAGATACAGAGAGAGAGAGAATCCTAAGCAGACTCTGCACTGTCAGTGGTCAGCACTGAGCCTGACGTGGGGCTCAAACCCATGAAACATGAGATCATGACCTGAGCCAAAATCAAGAGCTGGACATGGCCCCAACTTTGCCAGCTCTTAAAAGGATGAGTAGAGTTTCACCAAGCAGTGGTTGGAAGGTGAGCAAAAGACACCGAGGCAGAAAAGTACACAGAATAATCAGGTAACGGGAACTTACAGAGCAAGGACTTCACTGTGAGACGTGGCAGAAAGTGAAGACAGGAGAGTATGGCTGGGACCAGATCATGAAGGTCCTTGAATGCCCTGTTAACATTTCATTTTATTTTGTTTTTTTTTTTTTTTTCAACGTTTATTTATTTTTGGGACAGAGAGAGACAGAGCATGAACGGGGGAGGGGCAGAGAGAGAGGGAGACACAGAATCAGAAACAGGCTCCAGGCTCTGAGCCATCAGCCCAGAGCCCGACGCGGGGCTCGAACTCACAGACCACGAGATCGTGACCTGGCTGAAGTCGGACGCTTAACCGACTGCGCCACCCAGGCGCCCCTGCATTTCATTTTATTTTGAAAGCAACTGGACACTGTAAAAAGATGAATGAAATCATGAGATCTGAATTTTTAAACTATAATTCAGGCTGTTGTAAGAGAATTGTACATAAGAGTGAGAATATGAACAGAAAAATCAATTAAGAGAGTTAATCAGTTAATCAGGGGTATACCTCCTTCTAAAAAAATGAATTGCAGAGTTGATGTGCATGATTATAAAGTCCTGTTCTAGAATAGTTTCAGTGTGCAGGGGAGAGGGAGACTTACGGGAGACATTTTAAAGCAGAACCTACTGCATTTAGTAATCAACTGGTTGTGAGGAATTAGGGAAAGAGAGGAGGCAAGGATGCTCTGAGATTTGGGGTTGGGTGATTGGGTGTGTGACAATGCCATGAGCTACAACTGAGAAAACAAGAGGAGACACCTGTTTTGGCAAAGAGAAGTACTAGTGGGCACTCATGTGGAGACCTGCAAGAGGAAGTCCGAGTCCAGAGAGAGGCCGGACCTAGAGTTACAGTTTTGAGAGCCATCATTGGAGCCATAACAGTGAAAAGGGTCACTGCTTGGGACAAGCGTGCAAGGTGAGAAAAGAGCCAAAACCACGCCTCCAAGGAACATTACAGCAAAGGAAGAGGGAAAAGAGGAACCAAGGGGAGCCCAGAAAGAGGGGTCAGGAGGTAGGAAGAAAGGGTGCAACCAAAACGGAGGGGAAGAAGGCTGCAAAAACTAAGGGAGGCCAGAGTGGCAGGATTTCCCAGAAGAGGCTGCTGCAGATAATTAAAGCACTAGGAAGTTTAGGAAAGCAATTTCTAGAGAGTGAGGAGAACAAGGCAGATTCCTAGGAACATACAGAGACAGAGCCGGGGGTACAGGGGCAGCAGCCCTAAAGCACAGGGATTGTGTGACTCGAGAAGCAGCAGGCTTTAGGGATTGTTCAGCTTAATTTTGAAGTACTTAAGTGTCACAGAGAATGTAATTTAAATCTTAAAACCGATAGCTTGTCATTATGAGGTTTAAAACACGCAGGCCTTGTCTTCCCTGTGACTTAAGCTCCTGCTTCATTCAGGATTGCCTTAAATCCTGCCATGGGTAAGCTGTCACTTTTTACTCTACTTTTTACTGATGAGGCACAATTGATCTTTCCTGACCATGGTTTTTTGAACCCGTGGAAAATGCTATGATATGAAAGAAAATGGTCTCTGGGTAAGATGGGGTGTTAGAATTTGGGTGTTAGCTTTAACTGTGAATGAATACCCATTCTGGGGATGTCAGGTTGAGGGGGAGCACTGAAGAGGTCAGCCACAAACCCCAAATCCTCAGGCTGAAGAGAAGCCAATGAAAAAGCCTGGAGGACAGGACCAGAGAGGAGAAGGAGAGCCTGGGGAGCAGCGTGTGAGACACTAAAGGAAGAGAATGCTTCCAGAAGAAGGTGTCAAATGACCCAGCAGGAAATGAAAGGAGGCTTCTTTGTTTGGGATGAGAATGTCCCTGGGACCTTGAAATAGCACTTTCAGGAGATTGCTGAAGGCCAGATCAGATATGGGCAGCGAACAGAAGGCAATGTCCCAGTGTACCCTTCACTTCTTACATGCAATAAATAACTTACCTTCTACCTACACTGAACTGTTATGTATAATGTGCCTGAGGATGCATGTGTCTATGTACATGTATACACAGATACATACACATATGCACACTTAAAGGTGTATTAATCACTGCTGAATGGTTAATTGTCTTCCTCTCTTGTTTTAAAAAATAATTGAGACTTGGAAACCGAATTGCTGTCCCGAGGCAAATTGTTAGATGTGCAAATATAGGGAAAAGAGGATAAATGTACCGTTTTTGAGAGGGACTTTTGCTAGAGTTTCTGTGATGTTTCTTGATATGTGAGTGGATTTCATTCTCTTTTTCTTTCTCTCCTTCCAGTGGAATGGAGCATGTCTAAAGACTTTCGTCCTTTGTCTGGAGAGATCATCATGGAAAACTTGCAGACCCTGAGATGCACAATCACAGGACTGACAACGGTAAATGCCAAATCCTCCCATTAGGCTTCCCATTCCCCTGCTCCTGATGTTTGTGCTGGGATTCGGGTAGCAAATGCCTACTCTGGAAGCGACAGCCAACACCCAGCCCTCTGGCAACAACTGCCACTCGTTAAGTGTGATATGTCTGGTATCCATAATCTGAACTCCACAAAGGACTGAGCAGACAGCATGAACCACTTTGTAAGCTGCCATGTTCTACAGAGATCAGAAAAAGACTGGCCTCATGCAAGCCTTGAAAGCTGCTGCTTTCTGGATCACAGTCTAATCTTTAGGGGGGATCAAAGGCTCGGAGAGATCCAATTTTGACTCCCTGTCTGATGGTAAAAATAACAGCCTCCTCTAACCCTCACCCCCATAGCCTTGGTTGAGATCAGTCATCTATTGGAGTCATACAATTTCCTGAGAGAAATCCTTTTCCCTTGATTAAAAAAAAAAAAAAAAATCTGTCTAAATCTGCTTTCACAGAAAAGAAACTATATATGGTGGCACTACATTTCTCAGTAACCTGAACCAATTTAAACTGTGAATGAAAAACTGGAACAAGCTGAGCTTATTTGTTTAATCAATCTAAACTCAAACGTTAATTATTTATACAACTATACACCATAGGAGCATATGAAATGCAAAAAATAAAAACACCTGGCACATCAGTTCACACTGAAACAAACCCTGTATCTCCTCAAGTAATTAAAATGCAAACAAAACTGAATCATCAGAATATTTTTTAGTAAAGTTTTTAAAGTATACTTATCAAACCTGTCGGGGTTTTTTTGTTTTGTTTTGTTTTTTGTTTTTATTTTTTTACTCCAATTAGAATCCTTAATTATCTTAGGACCTTTCTATGCAAGAGGTAGGGGGAGAATTTTCTTGGTCTTGTTGTGTTTCAAAAAGATCAGTCCTTTAAACCAGTTATGTGTAAAGTGTACTCCTGAAACCCAGCATGAAAAAGTTGCATTAGGTTGCATCTCTTCAAGTTTGAACCAGCTAGAATACAGAATTCTTGGTGGTTGGGTCACCACCACAGAATCTTGACTTTTAGTCCTAATCACACATCTACACCAGGGGCCAAAACTGTGGATTACCAGAACAAACAAACCCCTGAGTGGGTGGCCCCCAGAGATGCTATCGGCAGAAGACTGATTCCCAACCCTATAGCTCACATGATGGAAAAGGGCCAGAAGAGAACCCTAGGGAATTTCCTTTGCTTAAAAGAAAAAGTGATATTGTGATAAAAATGGAAAACTCTCTACAGAGAGTTTCTCTAATATTTGAACTAATTTTTATAGGGATTAAGTTTTTCCACTTGGTCGTCCAATGAGAGCAATTCAGACACTATCCTAATCACATAAAAGCCTAGAAGTAGATTTACACTTCTGCGGAATCTCTATAACCTTGAAGTACGTAGAAACCTATTTTTAATGTTAAAAAAATTAACTTTATAATATGGTAAGGCCAACATTATTAAAATATCTAGCAAAGGCTCTACGAAGATGTGGGGTTTTTTTGTTTTGTTTTTTGGTTTTTGGGTTGTGTTTTTTTGTTTTTTTACTTCAAACATTATTTTACAATTTTTGCAAGGGATGTTTTATCAAATGCTGGCTTCAAAAATGCCTCTTTGGGTTCACTGGGTAAAGAAAAAAAACTCAAAGGAAAAATGTAAAACTATACAAAACATCTGAAGTTTATAAGTAAACAAAACAACTCCTAAATTTTTAGTGTCATAAGACATTAAAGAATATAACCATTGTTTTAATAATGGTTTTAAACTTGAAGTAAAATCAAAGAAGCAAAGCATTATTTAATATGGCATAAAATGTAGAAACAATCTTAATGTTCATTGGTAGGGGACTGGTTACATAAATGACAATATTTGCCCACAGTGAAGTACTTACTATGCAGCCCCTAAATGAATGAACCATATCTCTGATGTACTATTATGAAAATACGTGCATTGTAACTTCTTAATTTTAAAAGCAAGTCAATCAGCTAATAAAAATGATGGTGACTGCCTCTGGGGAGGGGAAAATAAAGAGAAAGAGGTGAGGAATTGCTGTTTTTGGTAAAACTTGACTTTTAATAATTAGTGTATAATTTGGGGGGGGGAAGCTCATAGAAACTGAGAGCACCCCAAAATGTTTATCATTACACATAAATAAATGTGATAGTCAATAAAATCTAGAAAGCTAACGTATGGCTAGTAGATTTCCCAAGGGATCAAGTTGTTCATTGGACACAGGACTCTAGACTAAAGTGATTCAGTAAAATTCCTAATGCATCATTCTCTCTATTTCGATACTTTTCAGGGCCAACAGTATTTTGTTCAAGTCTCGGCTTATAACATGAAGGGATGGGGACCTGCTCAGACCACGACTCCGGCATGTGCCTCGCCTTCCAGTAGGTGGTGGCTGTGAACTCTCTCAAGCCTGGCAACAGGCTCCAACTCCCCCTCCATCCATCCTCCGGACACCACTGCCTTTCCCTCTCCCCACTGCTGGGGACTAACAAAACCTCCTCAGAGTAGCCTCTGGGCCACATAATGAAGGATTCCTCTGCAGAAATGTTCCCTTGGGAGGCAACTCGGTGCAATGAGAGGAGAGGGAATTTGGAACCGGCAAGACCAAATTCAGTACCCATGATACATTTTATTAGCCGCGTGGCCTTCAAAAGTTCCTTAACCTCTCCAAATCTGTAGGAGCCCAATCTGACCTTTCCCAAGACTTTCGTGGGGATGTGGGGAATGACAGCAGAGGGAGTGGCCAGCCCATTCTAGCTCTCCTCTCCTCCTCACTCCCTCACCCACATCCAATTGATAAGAGAATGAGATATTCTTCTGACACAATGTCAGAAAAAGAATCTTTCTTAGTAACAGGCACTCTGCTACCCTCTGCTACAAATATATAATATTTATAGTGGGAGCTGAAAACCACAACAAAAGCCACTTCTAGTTATTTAAAGATTAGTAACTTATTATGTCTGGTATATTTGGTAACTCTCTATTAACCAGAAGAAGCATCTCTAAATATATCATATGATAGATTTTTCTGTATAATGAGCCTATTGCTCTGAACTGTGTTTTCATTTTTTAAAAAGTCTCCATGAATATGATAGTTCAAAATGGTATCATATGCTTCTTGTGAGAGTGCAGACTGCTACATCCTTTGTGAGATACAATTTGTCATAATAAAAACATTCGTTTCTTTTTACCCCATAATTACATATCTAGGAATCGAAGCCAAGAAAACAAATGCAGACAGACAATTATGAACAAATATGTGCACTATAGCAATATATTGATATAGTGAAATATTGTGTATGGTAGGGAGAACAAATATCCAATATCAATTCAATGGTTAAATAAAGTATGGTATTTACATATCCATATTATAAAACAAAAGGCAGCCACTAAAAATGGTGTTTAAAAAAACTTCATTGTGTGGAAGAAACTCTTACTTTGGAAGTTTTATATAAAAACATGCAAAATTTTCTAGCACATATTTAAGCTTCCTATTACTAGGAAGGCACGTCTGCACATAACTATCAATATGTGGCAGTGGGTATTTGGGGTATAAGATTATAGACTCTTTAGTTTTCTTTTTTATGTATTTATGTGCTTTTCGTGTTTTAGAACAACCCTTTACCTAGGGCCAAGCACGAATCAGGTGGCATGTTATGGGCTTTCGTCAGTGTCTCACTAAACCCTCACCTCAGTCCTTCACCACTGTTCCTGTCTTGTGGATAAGCACTGTCATCATCTTCTGCATCACTCTGAACATCAGAGCCAACGGTCATTAGACTCATTATATGCTGGACATTAATCTAAGAGCTTTACAGGGATCTACTCATTCAATCTTCATAACAGACCTATTGAGGTGGTTTTATTAGTAGTCTCATTTTACCAGGGAGGGACCTACTAACATAGAGGTACAGGCATAGAGCCCAACACCACAAAATTAGCAAGCACTGAAGTCAGGTCCAAACCCAGTGGCCCTTGTTCTTAACCACTGTGCTGTCCTCCCCTTCTATTAATAAGGAAATTGGGATTCAGAGAGGATGCTGCCTTGTCCGAGGTCACAACTCATATGTGGCTGAGCCAGGATTCAGGCCTGAACTGATTGGACCCATACCACATCTCCTATGCTGTGGGAACTAGTGCCCCATCATCAGGCAGACAAGCAGACTAAGAGCCAGCCAGCCAACCATTCCTGACTGTCACTCCGGGAGTGACGCCAGGTCATATAGGGCCTTGGACCACTGACACCAGAGCTCTCTAAGGCCCCTCCCTGAGTCCCGTAGGCATTCAATGATTTAATTATTCCAGTCTTATCTGGACATCTTTCTTATTGTAGACATCAGAAACACAAACTGGGAATGCTGCAAGATTAAGATACTAAGGGAACCAATCTCATTCTAGGAAAAAAAAAAAAAAAAGAATATATTTATTATTGTAGATAAAGGGATAGAAGGAACAGAAAATGAAAAAAAAAAAAAATGATAGTGTTGATTGACCTGAAGGTGGGACATGGGAAAACCTACTCCAAATACAAATTCTGATCTGCATATGGATGCATTTACTTATAAGCATCAGATGTTCCAGTTCTATAAACTTCAAATTCTGTTCAGACACTCTCCCTCAAAGCCCTTCAGGGCTTTCTCCAGAGTGACTAGGACAGTTGTCCAGGACTGGGAAGAGTCACTTATTGCTAATTAACATAGCAAATGGCAACACTCTCTAAAATGGCCCATTTGACTAGTAAGGGTATCTGGCAAAGAACTAAAATCCAAACATGCCGTTATAGTTGCTGCAGACATGCCATATCACTTGGAAAAGAACAATATAAGACTCTGCTTCTATTTATAAACAGACTATGACATTGTGATGCAACAGATATCAGTATTCAGATATTTACTAGAGGACAATGTATTCTAACATGACAGAGTAATTGGAAATTTGGTAATATGTTCCAGTAAGCTATAAAACTTTTTTCTATATTTTTACAAAAGGCCTTAATGTGTTTTTATAGACTTATGTTATATGGTATGGTACATAATAAGAGAAAAGGACCCAGACAGGCTTGTCTGAGTTACGATCAGGAAAGCCCTGATATCGCCAGTGAATGTAAGCTCTGCATTGTGTTGCAATTGAAGTGTCTCATTACCAGAACACTGAACTGTATTATGTGGCACAATCTGCTCTTTTCCTCCCACACTAAGTTTATTCCTGTCAGGTTCCTGATTTCTTAATATATTTTCAATTTTCTCCCTCATCCCTAAAGTCTCCTATTTTATGTAGTCATCAGAACCTTCCAAACATCTCTGAGAAAAACTCATTCTTTCCAAAAACCTTGGCATCATGTCCAGTGCTCACTTGGGCTGCAATTTAGCATTAGCAATCTTCGAGCTTGAGCTCGCCTCTGACGTAATGGGGCTCGGCGGAAAGAGCCAGCTCCATGTCAGCTCCCCCTGCATCGATGGCAGTATTAACACACATTAGAACGTATTGCTAAGTGCAGGGCCACATAATAACTCAGCCACCCAGGAGTCTTACTCAAGCAAACATTACTCATCTTATGAGCACTACAGATGCATTTTTTCAACGGCAGGAACAAACTCAGAATGGCCGTTGGGAATCCATGACAGCAGCATCTATTATCACTGTGCCCTGACTACTACCAGGGACACTGCAAATAAGGCAGAAGATCACTGGGAGTTCACTTCCTCAAACATTTCCAAATTTACCAGTAAAAGCACCTTCCCCAGCCCAGTCTACCTGAACACCATCCTTCTGTTCACAATGCCTCACCAACACCTAACGAGTGTCCCTAATGTGCCCATAATGGTGTTTTACATACGTTGGTTTTCTAAACTTCAAACAACCTTTAAAAAATATTCAAAAACTCACTTTGCAGAGAAGAAACCTGAGGCAAAGAGAAATTAAGTCACGGTTTCTGCCCACAAGGAACAGAGTCTACAGAAGGCACCTATGCCAATTCCCTGTCTCCAGAGTTGACCACAACTAAGCCACACCACACAAACTCCAACCAAGCTCTGACCCTCCTTCCCAAAAGAAACAAAACAAAAGAAAACGTGTCCACAGCATAAGGAAAGGAGCACTATATGGAGGGCCATGTAACTACGTTATGGGCCTGGCTACGCCCCCAGATAAGCTGAGTAACATAGAATTGGAATGGTTCTCTCTAGGCCTCCATCTTCTGAGAGGTAAAATGGAGAAGGACACATGGGGAAGGGTAGGAAGCATGAAGGATTCAAAAATGTCTGAGGTCTCCTTCTTCACAGGGAATCATGTGATAGGGTGAGAAATTATGTTTCCATAGTCGCTACTCAGGGAGTTAACTCTTCCTCAGAGAATTCCCTTCTTTCTAAGTTATGATTAGTTATGACTGACATAATGCCATTAACAGGCATTGTACTGGGTACCTAATAAACCTCTCATTTAGTCCTCACAAAAGGTCCTGCAAGGTAGGTGCTATGTTCATTTTTCACATTACAGAGTAGAGGCCTTGTCAGCGTAAGTAATGTGCCCTACAGATACTGAACCAGGAGTCCAAAGAGCCAGGAGTCACACGCAGGTTTTTCTGACTCCAGAACCTGTGTTCTTTCCAACTGTGCTGTACTACTAGGCCGTGGATGGACCAATGGTTATCTAACTTTGACCATCAGGACATCTGCTTAACTTTCTGAACAAGGCAGACTCCATATTTTAAAATAAACCTGGGGGGAGAGAATTTGAAACGCATTCAATTAGAATTGAAGCCTCAGATACACTTATGAACTAACTGGCCTTACTAGAAAAGAATGACTAGCATTTTTAGAGAAAGTATTTCAACCAAGAAGTGCTTTAAGTTGTTGCTTTTAAAAGGTTCAGAAAGCAAAACTGAGTGGATAGTGAGAAGATGGGATGGACTATGAAATGACAGACCTGCTGAAAAAAAAAAAAAAAATCAGAGTCGGAGACAGCAGAATTACAATCTTGACATTAGTCCCGTACGGGTTATTACTCTTGATATCATTATAGCCAAATGGAATGAAAATAGAAGGGGGAGAAAAATCTCAGTGGGTATTGCAATTTAAATTTGCCATGTAAGCTAATACTGTATATTTAGAGACTGAGCAGACAGGGTGGTTGGTGGCTCAGAGTATGTACAGGGGCTGCTGTGCCAGCTAACCAAAGCAGACATTCATTAGAGCGAAATGTAGATTTCCATTTCTTGGCATCTGACATGGGCTCTTTCCTTGGAAAGAAATGTCAATTTGGCCAAAAGTGTGAAACCTACAATAAAAGCATTGGGACTGTGGATTTCGTCTAGTCTGCACATTCCCACCCCTTTCTTTCCTACTGTGGATATCCAGGTGCCATTTGGGGTGCTGAGTGGAGAGGTGGCAGGGGAACTGATTAGGACCCGGGATGCTGAAAGGAGGGTAAGGAGCTGGGGAGGAGAAACCGGACTCCCAGATTCCCTGTTTTCTTTTGGCTTTCAGTCACCATTTTCTCTTGCCCTAAAACTGCCCAACACACACACACACACAAAACCCAACCACAATTACTGTTTTGCACAGGGCCCTGAACAATGGCAGCTGCAAACCCTTGGCACTGACTGCCAGCTGTGCGAGTGCCAGGTGCTCATCCAGAGTCTAGGGGAGTGTGAGCAGAGCCCAGCTCCTGAGGCAGCGCCTCCGGGGAAAGGCCTCCTTGCTTTAAAATTTCATTCTGTTTGTTTCTTTTGTTCAATAGACTGGAAGGACTATGACGACAGAGAGCCCAGACACAAGGGACAGAGTGAAGTTTTGGAAGGTCTGCTGCAGCAGGTCCGAGCCCTTCATCAGCATTATAGTTGCCGGGGTAAGGATAAAAATCTGCGCTGGGCCATCGACTGAGGTCTCGGTGGCGCCGGTAATTTTAGCAGTTTCCTAACTGGGTCATACCTTCTCATTCATCAGGGAGAGAGAGATATTAATATTTGTACATCTGGAATCACTTTACAGCACTATCTTGCTTTAACCCTTCAGAAGAGACTTCCCTCTCCTTCATTCCCTTCCTTTCTTTCTGTCTTACCCTCTCTCCATGCAAACAGTTTGAAAAAAAGCTCAAGAAAAACAGCAGCTGCCACCAGTTCCCTTCCCTTTGAGCTGTCCCTTCACAAAACTCCTCAGTGTCCCAGGTCTTTGAGATATTCACCCTCAAACTTTTCAGTCCCCAGGAAAACTCCGTGAGCATCCCTGAGGAAATTTAGCCAATTTTTAACAGCAACAAGAAACCTTCGTGTATATTTGTAATAAAGCTTACAATGCAATTTCACATCCACGGTCTCTTTTTCATCCTCATGCTGGCAGTTACCACTAAAGCTAAGTGACTTGACCAAGGTCACACTGCCAGGAAAACACAGAATCAAGATTCTGACCCAGGTTTTCTGTCTCTAAGCGCAATCTTCTTGCCATACCTCATTTGTGTCCCCCACCTTTACCTTTAGGACTGGGCACTGATGTTGATTGATCTCACCCTGAATTTTAATCGTCCCCTGTACTACTACTTAGGAGAAAATAGAGCACACATCTCCAGACCTGGCCAACTATACCCAGAAAATCTCTCAGAAGCTTTTAAAAACTTCTCTCCTATTTGGGCTATTCAAATGGGACAGGGTCAGGTTTCTGATCTGTGTAATGATTCGTGGAGCAGGCACTTAGTTTTATTTGGAGAATTAAAGCCTCCATAAAGTTTTCGTTTTCCATGCTCCTTCACCCATCAGATCCCAACTGCATTGCACTCTCCAGATTCAGGGCACTGCTGGGCCAGCTAGGTAAGAAATCCATGGCTGAAACTAAGAGATGCAACTGAGTTTGGACTAGGTATAAAAAATCATACTTAGCATTAGCAAAAAGTGAGTCCCAATTACTGTGTAACAACAGAGCTCTTCAGAAATGTTGGCTTTAGCTAGCAATGAGGACAAGTGTTTGTAAGAAAATAATATTCTTTTAATGAGTGGTTCATTAGAAAATGTAAATATGCATGTTTGAGAAGGAAACTCAAATGAGTTTCATTCCCAGATCTGAAGGAAAACTTTACCCAGACCATGGCCTTAAAGATTCCACACTGACCAAAGTACACTCAGTTCTCAGAGCTCATTTAACCAGGCCAGGCATCATTTAGGTTCCTTTCTCTCTTCTGCCTCTCTCTCCATCATTCCCCTGCCCATTGGTTCTTGTATGGCAGGCAAAGGTAATAAAGCAACTGGATAGATGATTCTTTGCAATTCATAAGCCACTTTGTGTTTAGTCTTTACCAGGGGAAGAAAGCTAAAACTACTCACGAGAATGAGAGGTAGTTTTTTGTTGTTGTTTTTTTGTTTTTTTTTTTTTTTTTTTTTTTTTTTTATTATCTAAGGATTTAGATGCTCTCCCCTTTACTGTTGGGTAACTATCTAATAATCAAGAAATAAATTATCTAGACAGCCCAATTATTTCAATAGTTTCCATTTAACTTTCAGCATGTATATGCTTTTCCCCCACAGGGATGTAAATATGCAGACAATGTCAGGAAAAATTTAAGTAAGGCATAAACAGAACTTCCCAAAAAGGAAAAAATATTTTTTATATTGAAATGTACTCTAGACACTTAAACAGTACCCAAAGTATTCCAAAGAACAGTGGTTGTATAAGATGCTCAGCTGAAAAAGTCTCTGGTCAGTAAGTTTGGAAAATGTTGCATTATACATCCCTTTCCTGGAAATGTAAAATCGATATTACAATAGTAAAGACTCTAATAAAGAGATATTTTGAATTTGGTTAACCAAGCATTTTCCAAACTTATTTGCAAAGTCATTGTATAACTTTTTTCACAGAGTTAGTATTCCAAGACATGGACTTTGGAAAATGCTGACCTACAATATGTTAAGATAAAGGAAATTACCTCACCCACAAAAAAGGAATGATTTTAAGATAATTTAACATTACTCTAAGCCTAGAAGGATAAACCAAGGATAATTAGGTATTACATACAGAAAACTACAAAACTGTTATTTAAAATATTCAACTACAGGGCTCCTTGAGTGGCTCAGTCAGTTAAGCATCTGACTCTGGATTTTGCCTCAGGTCATGATCTCATGGTTTGTGAGTTCGAACCCCATGTTGGGCTATGCTGACAATGCGGAGCCTCCTTGGGATTCTCTGTCTCCCTCTCCCTCTGCCCCTCCCCTGCTCATGCTCGCTTGCTCTCTCTCTCTCTCTCTCTCTCTCTCAAAATAAATAAATAAACAATAAAATACTCAACCACATTGAGATCTGTGTGGTTGAGTGCATGTCAAATTTATAGTTAGAAAAAATAATTAGTTCAAATCCCATTTCTACTACTTACTAGCTCTGTATCCCTGAGAAAAGCATTTGATCTCTCTGAGCCATAGCTTCCCCATCAGAAAAATCAGGATGACAGTATTTATCTTTCAGGATTGTTATGGGGATTAAGTTAAATAATGTACTAAACTCGCCTGACATAGTACAGGCACTCTGCAAACTCTAGCTTGTTTTCCTTCCGTTGCTCTTCCAGATGAAGAATGGAGTCTCTATCTCTTTATTGATAAATCCTAGAACTAACATGTAATCACTGACTCCACTGTAATGAGCCTGGAGTACTCAGTAAGTACACAGCATATTCCAAATGTGGAATTAATAATAAAACAACCCTTCTCCTACCAAAGCCTCACATGGGAGATACCAAAATCCACATTGATTTCTGTATTTTGGCTAAAGTGGCTGCAGTTAATCTGCATGTTCAGGACTGGGATGCAAATTCAGTGGAGATGTTGAGCAGCCTTTATTATTCACACAGTTTATGCCCTGGCATAATGAGTTATAAAGAAGCCAGTTGTGTTCATCATAGCAATACCCTGTGGGAGTGAATTTCAGTTATCCAATTTTTCAAGTGGCACACATTAATTGAAACACTGCCTACTATGTGTCAGGTGCTAGACATATCAGTATGAATAAAATAAACTCCCTATGTTCCAAGCACTTAAAAGCTAAAGAACTAATGCATTCGGAGTCCAGAAAACTGAACACTGTTCCAGAGTCCTGAGCTACACAGAGCCAGAAGCCAGAGTAGAAGCCACTCTATCAGTGACTCAGTGTGTCAGTATAGACCCTGAATCAGTCAAGGTGAGCTATAATATGCTGCAATAACCAAATGACCCCCCCCCCCAAATATTTATTTCTCACCCAAGCTGTATGTCTACCACTGGTCAGCTGAGGGCTGTCCTTCTGTGTTGTCATCATCCTTTCTCTAGAAATATTTGTCTGCACCCTGGGAGAAGGAAAAGGAACACTTGAATGTCTCATATGGACAGGACTTTATGTATGTCACTTACACTCAAAACTCATCGGCCAGAATTGGCCACATGGCCACACCCAACCACAAGGGTTCCAAAAAGTGAAATTCTGTCATGTGCCCAGAGTGAGGAGACCTGGAATACTTAACATTTGCATGGGCCCCTTTCCCAGATAGTAGGAGCATTTCTCAGTTTTTTTCTTCCTTTTTCAGTCTAATCTTAATTTTAATTTACATTATGTATGACTATAATGTGAGAGTTATCTTAGCATAAACAGCTAATCATGGATTAGCGGGGTTCAAATTCAGACTAGACATTTACTAGCTGTGTGACCTTGAGCAAGTTACCTAACCTCTCTAGACCTCATTTTTGCTCACCTGTAAAATGCAGTAAGAATTATACATACTTGCCAGCCACTGTTTAAGGATTGAATGACTTTAAGTAAAGCACTTAAGAGCTTTATTACTTAAAAAAAAGCAATTCCTCCCATTCTCCATTTTTTATTTCCCAAAGACTCCATTCCTTTAGCCAGTTCTTTTGATATTTTCTTCATATCTCTAAGTAACATTTATATTGCTGATTCTTGATGTGTTTTTGAGGCATTAGCTCACGAAGATGATTTTTTTTCCTTCCCCCCCTCTTACATACACATTCATCCTCCTACCCTTCATTCTTCTAATATATTTCTATTGTAATTTTAGTAAGATCAGTATTTATTGCTCACATTATAATGATCACTTAACTCAATGACTGTTTCCCTTTCCTGGATAACTTTTTGTTTTCCATGTCGTTAAAAGAGTCATCTTTCATTGTATGTTTGCTTATTTTTCTATGTGGTCACAACTAGTTAATCCCCAAGCTTTTCTCCAGTTGTATCAATTTTCTCTCAATACAATCAAATATATTAGTACTGTTTCAACTACATCTTCTTAAAGAAACCTCTCCTAGAGCCCTGTGAACTGCTCCAATCTAGACTGGTTGCTGGCTGCCTGTGTCCAGTGCACAGCTGGCACCCTGGGATGTCCTTTCACCACCATATTGAGGAGTCTTCTGGCCACTCTCCAATACTGGATTGCTTCTTTCTGTATCCCATGTCTTAACTTTTTCTTAGCCCTTCATTTTGGTGGAGCCCTTACTCTAGTCATTTCCTGAGAGGATTCTTGGGAACTAAATTTTAGATACACTCCATGTCTAAAAATGCATTTGTTCTACTTACCACTCACTTAAGGATAGAATTCTTTTATTTATTTTTTTAATGTTTATTTATTTTTGAGAGACAGAGACAGACAGAACACCAGTGGGGGAGGGACAGAGAGAGGGAGACACAGCATCCGAAGCAGGCTCCAGGCTCTAAGCTGTCAGCACAGACCCCGATTCCGGGGGCTCAAACCCATGAACCGGGAGATAATGACCTGAGCCGAAGTTGGACACTCAACCGACTGAGCCACCCAGGGGCCCCAAGGATAGAATTGTTGGTTGAAATAATTTTCTTTCAGGTTTTGAAGGTGTTGCTTTGTTCTTTTCTAGCTTTCAGTGCTGAGAAGTCTGATGTCATTCTGACTCCAGAGGTTTTATAGGGTACCGATGTTGTTGTTTTTCTTCTCTGGAAGGTTTTAAATTTCTTTTTATCTTCAGTACCCTAAAATCTGTTTTTATGCTTTCTTCATGTCTCCATATCACGTTTATATTCTAATTCTTGATTTTTTTTTTTTAGTTGAGGCATTACCTAAGGAAGGATGATTTCTCTTTTTGTTCCCTCCCTGCTCTTAATTGCACATTACAATTGCTACCCCTCATCCTCTAAATATATTTAATAATATAAAAAAATAATATAAAAATATAAAAAATATCTTAGTGTGGATGTATTGTAGTCTGTTGGGCTGGCCCTTTCAATGTAGAAAGTTACCCCCTTCAATTATGGGGCCTATTCTTAATTATTTCTCCCCCTCTTTTTTCTCTGCTCCCTCCTACTAGAACTCTTAGTCTGGTGTTGAACCTTCTAGGTTATCCTGTTAATATTTCTTTTTCTCTTTTACTTTTCCATCCCCATGGCCTTTTGCTCTTTCTCAGAGATTTCTGCAACCTCATTTTCTAAGCCTTCCATTGGGTTTTTCAGTTTTTGATAGTATGTTTTTAATTTCCAGTGCTCTCTTTTATTCTCTGAATGTTTCTCTTAGAAACTTCTGTCCTTTTTATAAGGCTGCAATGCCTCTGCTTATCTTTAAGGCTATTAATAATAGGCTTTGTTTCATTTTGTATTTTCTTCTCTCAGCATAGTCTCTCCTCTGAATTGCCCTTTTATTTCTTTGGTTTGGGCCTCTGTTTTTCCTGTTAGATGCTTTTCACAACTGCCTGGTGATCCTTGGATGTTTACTGAGACTTAACAGAAGAGAGCTCAGTAGCTGTTAGGAAGCTCTGAGTACATGGATAAAGTTCTTTATTTATAGGCTTCACTGTAGAGTGATCTGGCATGGCCTTTTTAAAAAAGTTTTTTATTTAATGTTTATTTTTTTTGAGAGCGAGAGAGAGAGAGAGAGAGAGTGGTGGAGTGGCAGAGAGAGAGAGGGAGACACAGAATCCGAAGCAGGCTCCAGGCTCCAAGCTGTCAGCACAGAGCCTGACACAGGGCTTGAACTCAAAAACCGCAAGATCGTGACCTGAGCCGAAGTCAGACGCTTAGCCGACTGAGCCACCCAGGTGCCTGGCATGGGCTTTTCTTTAGGAAACCATTGAAAGCAATGTCGGAAGCTTTAAGTGGATTCTCTTAGTCTGGTCAGAGTCTCCAGAAAGTTTCCTCCAGTGTCCTTCCCGGAGGGTGTAAGTTTGAACACCAGGGTTCTGAGAGCCCAATGGGAAAATCATCTGTATGGAAATGTTCATTTAATCACTTGTTTTGGATACAGTACTATTCTCCCACCCCCATTTTTAACTGTACCCCATGTCTCCCACTCTAGAAACCAAATTTTATGCTTTTCAGAGAACAAGCCACTAGAGCTTTTTTCTAGAGTGGGGAAGGGGTATTTGTCCAGCTATGCAAGTTAGAGGAGATCTAGAAGTCCAACTGCTTTTTAAACAGACTTCAACAAATCCCTCTGATTTTAGCTCCACACTTATCCCCAACTTCCAGCAGTATGTGGTGCCCAAGGGGTGAATCAGGTTACTTAGCCTCCTCCACTGCTGGCTTAGGACTCATCTTTCTCAAGTCTGCTAAATCCATCTGTCCATCTGCTTTCCAGCTACCAAGTTCACTTGCTTTTGTTTCCTTTTCCATCTCTTTGTCTCTATAGATTTATGGAGTTTCCTTTTTATTTTTTAATCTCTTCACTCTGGTTTTAGTGAGATTTTAGGAGAGAGTAGCATGTGATGAGTATGTTCAATATGCTGCCTATAACCGGAAGTCCCAGCAGCAGCATTTTCAAGCACGGTATGACCAGCCAAATTCATGTTTAAGTCAGAAAAAAAAAAAAATGTTTTGCTTTGTTCTGCCAGGAATAACCATTACCAGCACTAGCTTGAAGCTGGCATGAATGTTTGTCAGTCCACTTATTCCCAGCTGTTCCTATAGGATCGTAAGCAGAGCCACACTGGGCCTCAGCCGTGGGCCATCCACCCAGGTTTCCATGCCTAACAGCAGTAATGTAGATGATATTCTTACCCCAGTGACATGTCTGTCAGAAGTTTGGTGATGACCCCAACAACCTCAGCTTCCCTCCATTACACAGAACACACGAGGACTGAAATCAGTGATCTTTTCGCTCAGCTCCACGCAGTACTATTTGTAAAGACTACTAGGAGAAGTCTGCAAGTTTTATCAGTGAAATCTCCAGGTTCTAAGTAGGAGGGGTGACCAGAAGCAGCAATGGATGATTTGCTCACCAAATGTAGCCACAGAGCCCTGTATGTAGTAGGGTACTAACAAATATTTGTTCAGTAAATTAACATCTCAGTTTTTCTCGGCACTGGCTCTTTTATCTTGGGCAATCTGTTTTAACCTCTTAGTGTCTGTTTCTTCTTCTGAATAGTACTGATGATAATCATAACCTATGCCTACAACTAGTAGTGTGAGCCAACATATATACACTGGGGAAGATTGCCCCAGAATGCTAGCAGTGGTTGTACTAAAATGGCAACATGATATGGGTAGAGTTTTGTTTTATCTATTCTCCAAACTTTTTGTATTAATTGTACAGTGAAAAAAAATGTAATGAAATGTGTGAACTAATAAGAGCTTTGGCAGCATTGAGAAAACGTATGGATATTAAAGGCAATGGGAGGAGGCAAAGGGTTTGACTCCATTTCTTTTTATCCCTCATTATAATCAATTGTTCATCAGGAAAATATAAGCAAAATGCCGAAGGGGTCCCCCTCGAGTTATAAATGTTACTCACCTCCAACATTTTTGAGGAGCTGATCATTAATTGAGTTAACCACTAGCAACTCAAGATATAAAAGCTTTTTGTAAGAATGAATGAGTTGGATCCACATGAAACTGAGGATAAGCAACACTGAGGGGACGGGGGAGAGGAAGGCAGGACGGAGGGAAGAAGATACTGGGAGTGTTATTACTCTGCCAATGGAGTTTATACTCTATTTTTTTTTTTCGGTGTTTCAGAAACTTCAAAATTACAAACCACAGGCCGCAAGCAGTCAGTCTCAAGGAGCCTGAAACACCTATTCCATTCCTCAAATAAGTTTGTGAAGACCTTAAAACGGTGGGTCCTATGCAGGTTTTCCAGGAAGTCTTAACTTCTCAGGAATCAGCTGGTTTGGGTTCTAAGTATAAACTCGGTAGAAACTTCCTTTTTGTTATGAAAAGTAGGAGATTCACTTTCTCCTGAAAATTTGCGCAAGATAGTAACTTCTGTGAGTACTAGTCTGTGACCATGTCATACCTAGCAAGACTGTGCTCATAGTTATATTAAATGATCTTTTATCACATGCAAAAATATATGTTTCCATGATTCAAGCTTGGTAGAGACTCTTGAAGACAATTTTTTTATTTTGCTTTTTCTTTTTAGAGGACTCTACATAGCTGTTATATTTTATTACAAAGACAATATGTTAGTCACCAATGAAGATCAAATACCGATTGTTGAAATTGATGACTCTCACACCAGTTCCATTACACAGGATTTTCTGTGGTTCACAAAGGTATACTGAGTTCTGACTTCATTTTGCACCAATGTTTCTGTGCATAAATCTCTGAAAAGTTTGTTGGGGAGTCTCCAGTGATCAAAGTATTGGGGTGGGAGGAAATTATCTCAAAGGTCTTCCTTCTGCCCTGATATGCCCTATGCCATAAAAAATGCCAAAGTAGCATCTACATTACATTTTCAAAGCAAAGAAGCTTGCATTCTGTCAGATTGTGTCTCCACTATTCTGAGTTATAGGATCATTTGGCAAAGACTAAATTGTGGATCTGACTATTTCATTAACATTCAGATCTTTTTCCAATTGGACAGAGATCAAAAAGTTGTTTTGCATGTATCTGAAAATGGACTGCAGAACAAACATCAGGGGTCAGGTTTCCTTTTCCCTGCTTTTTGCTTTGATGCCACAACCTAAATCATGTACTGGCTTGGATGATGATATGACCTCGTGACTTCTTTTGCAGCTGTCTTGTATGTGGGAAGATATAAGGTGGTTGAGGCAAAGCATACCCATCTCCATGTCCTCATCCACAGTGCTGCAAGCTCGGCAGAAGATGCTCGCAGCAACAGCCCAGCTACAGGTGAGAGGCCAGGTTTCAACTTATATTGCAAGGAAATCTTAGAAAAACTCGACCAGTTCAGGTACCAGGCCCACCTGGAAAGGAAAAGGATGGGCTCCTTTCTTCTCCAGATCCCTAAGCATATGAAGTCTTCTGAGGCAGTCTGAGATGCACTCAGCTCATGTAGGGAATCTGTGCCTTTGGCAATTTTCTGGACGAGGGGCAAGGGTCTCTCCTGAAGAGTCTAGGAGTGACCCCCCTAAACAAGATGTGAGACTTGACTTCTGGGTTTGATATTAATCATTTCTCCTTTCTGGGCCTCAGTTTTATCACTTGCAAAATAAGAGGAGTTTGGATCACCTGACAAACGCTTGCTGCTCTGTTAGTGCATAGAGATGGAAAAAGAGACCAAAAGATATTTTGAGGAGTTTCTTGGCTTGATCTTCTGTTAAAGCACAGGAATTTGCATACATTTTTGCTTACTTTAAAAAAAAAAATAAGAAGAAAGAAAACTCTTAGAACCTTAACTTTAATTCTGAATTTATTCATCCTTCCATATTATTAACCCAATCAGACCAGGTCCCCAAGCCCTGCAAGAATTATTTGTAGGCTACAGAGCCTCTCCTAGAAATTACACTGAATTTTAACCAAGGTCTTCTGGGATTTCTTTTCATTGTCTTCTGGTATTAGCTGAATTTGTGGTTCTTAGCTACATGGAATTGGAGTCTTGAAGAGATCACTGAGCCTTTAGCAGTGATCGGTATTTCCCTACAAAACTGTCAGTTACATAAACCCCAGAAATACACATAACAGGAATCTATGTAAGCTGTGTTTGGCCAGGCCATACTAGCCAAGGCATAAAAATAGGATCATAACAACAAAAAAATATTTCTGTGGCTCCACCCCCACCAGCAATTACAGGAACTTCATTTCTTGACCCACACAATACTAACAATTCAACCACCTGAAATAGTAATAATTACTGTGTTGCTATTATAATTCTGAAAGGCAACTCTTACTCTTTCTGTGCTATAGTCCACTGCAGAGGCAGGTTATTATCTTGTGTGTTCAGCAGCCTCAGAGATTTTAGCAGTGTTCTCAACTTCAACACACTCTTACTTCAAAATCTTCTTCAACCCAAGGGGAAGTTCTTGGAGCTGGGCCATGATGACTGTACCGAATTCAAAGCTCCCCTTCCTGGGGCACCTGAGTGGCTCAGTCGGTTAAGTGTCCAACTTCAGCTCAGGTCATGATCTCTCAGTTCGTGAGTTCAAGCTCACATCAGGCTCTGTGCTGACAGTGTGAAGCCTGGGGCCTGCTTCGGATCCTGTGTCTGTCTCTGCCCCGCCCCCACTCACACCCTGTATCTCTCTCTCAAAAATAAATAAACATTAAAAAATAATAATAAAGACTTAAAAAAGAAAAAACGTTTATTTATTTTTGAGACAGAGAAAGACAGAGCATGAACAGGGGAGGGTCAGAGAGAGAGGGAGATACAGAATCCAAAACAGGCTCTAGGCTCTGAGCTGTCAGCACAGGGCCCGATGCAGGGCTCGAACTCACGGACCGCGAGATCATAACCTGAGCCAAAGTTGGGTGCTTAACCAGCTGAGCCACCCAGGTGCCCCAAGACCTTTTTTAAAAAAAGCTCACCTTCCTTTCATCACTGACCAGCTTGAGTGAGAACAAGCCACTGTACCTGAAACTGTTCTTTTCTTAGGATAAAGCTCATTCCCAGGAGTCTCCTTGGTATCAGTCAAGTTCTTTCTCAGGAGATTCAGACACCTCAATGGACTCTCAACCCACCATATAGCCCAGACATGCTTGGATCACAGACTGAACAACTTTTCAAATAGGGTTCTTCATTCCTAGAACACATTCATCTGGTATCAGTAACATGAGAAGGGTATGGCTGTCCTAGCCAATGCAGCTAGATGCTGAAGGGCTAGAGAGAAGCCATGATGACCAGTGTGCCCCTACTCAATTAGTCTCATTGAAATGGCTCTTGGATTTCCCTGGCCCCCCGATATATATATTTTATAATTCATCAACCCCCTTCTGATACCATTTCCTGTTTTGTCCAGCTTAGATTCCTTGGCCCATCCTAATTATTCCCTTGAAAATACTCTAAATTTCTGGCCACTGTCTCCCCCGTATTATTTATTTGGAAAAATCCAAGCCTGGATGAATCCAACAAGCCTACACTGGAGTACTTGCACATTGCTGCATAAAAGTCACCATAAAAGGGAGCTGACTGAGGGGCGCCTGGGTGGCTCAGTCGGTTGAGCATCCGACTTCAGCTCAGGTCATGATCTCACGGTTTGTGAGTTTGAGCCCTGCATCGGGCTCTGTGCTGACAGCTCAGAGCCTGGGGCCTGCTTCTGATTCTTTGTCTTCCTCTCTCTCTGCCCCTCACCCACTTGTGCGCGCTCTCTCTCTCAAAAATAAACATTTAAAAAATATTTTAATAAATTTAAAAAGGGGGGGCTGACTGGTTTTTTAATTAAATTCATGGCTGCAATTCTCACATATAACTAGGGATCATATTCTGTTTCTCTACTAATTTCACTTTCACCAACTATAAGGGAACTATTTAAAAACCTGCTTTCTCTTGCACCCCTATCCCTTCCCTATAATCTCCATCCCCATATCAGGTGATGATTTCACTGTATAATTCATTAAGAAAAAAATAAATGGGAATTCTTTTCCTACCAGCAAGTTGAAAAGCCTCCTGGCATTAACCCCACTTTCTCTTTCATCCCTCCTATTACAAAAGTACTGGTTGGATAAATAAATGTATTTGTCTCTCCAACCCCTGGACTCCAAAGATCACACTTGGGGGTATTCTATTTTACCAGAAAGAAAAAGGAAATAACAGAAACGTATCTCATGCCATAGTTACCACCTGAATAATTCACCAGCCCTGCATAGTCACCAGTAAATAGTACTCAGTAAATAGTTACCCTTTACAGCACCCATCAAAGGCCAGAAGGCCAGAGCACTGCTATACTGCTATGCATTCCCTTCTCTTCACATTTCTATTTGCCTGGTTATTCAACTGGGGTCACTGTCATCTTTTTTATTTTTCTTTTTGTAGGACCTACTGCCCAAACTATTTGCTGATCTTTAGGATGAAAGTGTCTGAAAATAGTGAAATCACTTTTTATTTTTAGGCAGTGGGGAGGGAGTAACAAGGCAGAGAAACATTTCAGAAGAGGAAGAAAACTGAATGTGGGAAAACTGCTACTTAATATTTTAGGTCTCTTTGCTAATCTAACATTTTTTACAATGTTACGAATAAAGTAAAAAAGTGTGGGGCACCTGGGTGGCTAAATTGGTTAAGCGTCCGACTCTTGCTCTCCATTCAGGTCATGGGTCTTGTGGTTCATGAATTCAAGCCCCATGTTGGGCTCTGCTCTAAGAGTGCGGAGCCTGCTTGGGATTCTCTCTCTGCCTCTCTCTCTCTCTGCCCCTTCCCTCTCTCTGCCCCTTCCCTGCTCACACTATCTCTCAAAAAAATAAAATAAAAACTTTTAAAAACAGCTTGATTGGCATCAGCCATACATAAATCCTGTGGTCCTACCTCTGGTTTATTTCACTGTGCTGTCCTCCCCTTTCCAGCATCACAGCCACTGCCTGATTACTCCAGTTATATCAAAAGCCTCCAAAGCTATGCTCCAGCTTCCAGTGTTAATACTCTCCAATCCATCCTCCACACTTCTGCCAGGGTAGCCAATAAAAGATTCTGGCCTGACTCATACTCTTTCAAGAGTGGTTCAGACATTTTATCACGGCATACAAAGGCCTCTGTTGCCATCTTCCCTTCCCTCCTATTTCCACAGCATACTGACTTACCTTTATCGCAGGGCATACCAAACACTGTGCACCAGGTGCCTTGTGTTCCAATTTCTTCCCTATAGTGAAGTCCTTTAATACGTAATAATAGGCAATAATCATGAAACAACTTTCATTTATTTCACAGAATACATGCCAGCCACTGTGATAAGTGCTTTACAAACTATATCTCATTTAATCTATACCACACCCTAATGAGAATGTAGTATATTTTTTAAGTTTATTTATTTAGTTGAGAGAGACAGAGACAGTGTGAGTTGGGGAGGAGCAGAGAGAGAGGGAGAGAGACAGAATCAAGCAAGCTCCAGTTCAGAGTCCAACACGGGGCTCAAACTCACAAAACTGTGAGACCATGACCTGAGCCGAACCCAAGAATCGGACACTTAACCAACTGAGCCATGCAGGTGGCCCAAGAATGTAGTATTATTGATATTCATTTGACAGATGGTAAAACTGAGCCCTAGAAGGGTTAAACAACTTGCCTAAGGTTGCACTAATAGGAAGTAGCAGAGTCTGGATACAAATCCAGATCTGTATAACTCTAAAGCCTACATTCTTTCCAATACTTCATCATCTTATTATGTGTTCATTTACAAAAAGCAGACAAAAAGTTTAAATAGAAGAAATTATCCACATTATAGTTTAAAAAGTATTCTGTATCATTTGGAGCCTATTTAGGAGAAGTGGTCTTAGATTTTATTTGAAAGGAAGTAAAGTAATTAACTGATTAATATTACCTAAGCAGGAGGAAAGACAATCTGTCAGCATTTGGATTTAAAAAAAAAAAAAAGATGAGAAGACCTGTAAGTGGCCAACACCCCACACTGTTTTTCCCACCCTTAGGAAAATGACAGAGTCCCCAAGAGGCAGAAGTTTACATTGCTCTTACATTGAGGGGTATCCAAACTACTTATCCTCAAAATACAGTAATCATCTGACACTATAGATTGGGTTACATTAAACTTTCTTCCTCCGTAGCCTTTAGAAATGAGTACTAGTGAGTAAAAGCCATGTAACAACTTATGAGTACCATGTCTTTTTAATTTTTCAAGGAGGGGGATAAAGCTTTCCCCATAATTTTACTCTCCTTTTCCAGGCCTTCATATCTCTACTCTGGATTTCCTTCAACTTCCCATGTCACCCCAAGCTGAATAAAGTTCTCTAAATAGTATGCATCTGTCTAAGGCTTACTGATAGTCCTGTAATGTGTTCTGGTTATAACCTAGATGCATTCCTATGGGCCATCAGGTGGTTTTTATTCCTCGTTAACTTGTAGGAATCTCAGGGTTCCCAGATCTCCCAATCTTGACTGCATAGCATCAAAGGTATTAAGATGATTTGGTTTTCCTTTAGGTCCTAAAGAATCCCAAGTTTGCCCTTGTGGAACACAGATTTATTACAAGGATATTCTGCTTTGAAATTGGGCTCTCCCCAGCTAGCCATCCAACCCAATTTGATGTCAATAAAGAATTTCAGAAAGACTTTTAGTGCTTTCTTATTCAAACTATTGGTCAGCATATCCAAAGCTGATGGTGAAACACTGATGATAACTCTGCTTAAATGAAATAACTCCCTCAATCAATGAATCCCCACCAGCTATGGTCCAAAATAAACAATATTTTCCAATATCCTAATGATAAAATGTTAATTCATTCAACAAAGAGTTATCGAGCTATTACTATGTGCCAGGCACTGTGCAAGGAACCCAGAGACACACAAATGAAACAACCATTATTTCATGACATGTATGTCAATATGCAGGAAAGCAGGAAAGCTAGAGTCACGCTAAGACATAAGTTTGTATGGGAAGCAATAGAAGACAAAAGAAGGGATCGTAAATTCTGAGAGATTTGGGAAAGTTCTCCCAGAAAAAATAAAACCTTGGTGGAGTCTTGAAAATGAGTAAGTATAAGTCAGGGTGAGATTCCAATTAGAGGAGTAAAGAAAACCCATACCCTAACTTGTATGAAGCTTGGGAGTTTGCAAAATACTTTGTCAGGCATTGTTTGACTTAATCCCCCAGACAATCCCTAAGGTAAGGATTAGCATAAGGGGTGACTCCTAATTTTAGATGATGAAACTCAGGGCCAAGAGGGTAAATAATTCTTCACGAGTCTGAGAGTTAATGAACAGCAGGCTGCCCTGAAACCTAACACCCGTGTAACTGAAGGCTCAGCAGCAGTAGCTTGCTGGAGCCAACTTGTACGGGCTCAGGACAGCCAACTGTTAAAGATTCAGGAATTTTGAAAACCTGTTGTCAAACTCTTGGAAGCTTTAAATTGGCCAGCATCAGTGGGAGCATTTACACCACAGAAATTGGCATATGCTATAAATCAGGCCTTCTTTTTTGTGACAGCCAGTTTACTAGTTTATTTACCAGTATTACTTTGCAGCAAGCTGCCTATATATAAAACTGTAATACTACAGAGGACAGGATTGAAAGCCTTATCCAATTACTTCTCTATGATTTAGAAGTCAATAACTTGAAAGGAATAATCTGACTGATCAGGTTGTTTTAAAAATAATGATCCCACCAAATGAATTTTTATGTGTCAATAATTATTTATGAAATTGCTTACTTATATGCCCAGTTCTAATGAGGAAAAATAAAAGACATAAGACACAGTCTCTACCTGGAAGGATCATTCCAGTGTTTTCATATCTGTAGATATTGACCTGCTGGCTCATTCATTTTTAGGTCATCTGTGTCACTTTTATAAGTTCCAGTTCTACTTTGGCTCTCCTGCAAACAGGTCATCAGCATTTATCTGAGCTTGCAAATAACAGCTAGGAGCTCTGAGATCTTTTATTTATACTTTTGAAAAATCACAGATATTCAAAATAAAAGGATATTTTATCCTCCTCATCCAACATTCTAGGTTAGAAATCTTCAAACCCTGCATATTTTTAAAACTGTTTATTTTAGTAACATCTTCCTGGGTCCCTCCACATTTGATGCAGCATCTTTATTTTCCTACCTTTCTAAAAGTATTGTCTGCCTCAGGTGATCTAGCTTACAAACAATTTTAACGTAATTTTAAATAAACAGAACCCCCTGAAATGCAGATAAGTCAAACCAGGCCAATCTCCCAATTAAAGTATCTTGAAAGGAATGTTCAGTCATTTGGAGACCTGTACAATGTACTACATTGTCAATTCACTTCTTCATTTTAAACAACCCCACTTCATACCAGCTTACTGTAGATCTCTTGAAAACTCCACAAGTGGCATACTTGAAATATCAGGCATTTTTCTTTAAAACATCTGGGATTCTCTTCAAGTGCTGGTAACTGAGGTCTATGTGCTGGTGTGTCTATGTGGGTAAGAGATATTTACAGATACTGAATTTGCTTAAAAAAACATCATTTTTGTGCCTCTTGCTATAATCTTTGCAAGCTTATGGTGAAGAGATTTTCTTGGAGCTCCTGTTAAGTACATTTTCTATGGTGCCACATATTCCAGTTTTAAGTTTGCTTTAAAAAAAAAAAAAACTTCTCAGAAACATCAGATAATTGATATTCAGTGTCTTTTGTTCCAATTATGTTGCTTTGTTTGCACAATATCATCCAAACTACCAGAAATCTATTTGTTTCTAGAATTTACTTGGAACACACAACTTAGGAAGAGTTTACTATGAGCCCATTAAAGACCGGCATGGAAACATCCTCATAGTCACCATCAGAGAAGTGGAGACACTCTATTCATTTTTTAATGGCAAATGGATGCAAATCTCAAAACTACAAAGCCAGAGGAAGTCTTTGTCAACACCTGAGGAGCCTACAGCCTTAGACATTTTACTGATAACCATCCAGGTATGCAGTCTTTCAGTTTTCTAATACTGTATATTTAAAGTTCAAACACATTTATTGAGGGGTTAGTGAAATGTACTAAGACCCATTTACAAATGCAGTGATGGAATAGAGAGGGTCCAGAGGCATTTCACTGTTTGTATTCCACACACAGGAAAGGTTCAGAAGCTTATTTTTTATTTATCACTCTCCAGATACGTAATTGGCCATGCAATACAAGTGCAGTGAGCACCCTGAAAATGGCCCTGACCAATAAGCCAATGAGAAACATTGAGACAAATGTTTGAGTAGGGGTCTACAGGTAATATAATCAAAACATTAACACCTAAAGGGACTATAATAATAATACATTGCTAGACCGTGTGTGTGTGTGTGTGTGTGTGTGTGTGTGTGTGTGTGTGTATAAAACACTATGAACAAACACTCTTACACACACTTACTTATGTGTTCCTTCTAATATTCCTCTGGGTCAGGCAGGCATGATTAAATCCATTTTAGGAATGAAATAACCGAGGCTCAAAGAGATTCTATGACATAACGACCACACAGAGAGGCAGGTCTAGTGAAGCTAATGTAGCCTCAGCATATTCAGCTCTTCACTTGCATTAGCCCCTATCAGTTCCCTGGCAGGGATCCTAACAACTTCATATCCACAGTTTTGTATTCTTCTTGTTAAAGAAGGCACGGAAAATTGTATTCGCTTTAGTCCCCACAAAACTTGGGTTTGCTCCTGGGCATACAGCTAGAAAATGGCAGGACTGAAACTTAAACTCAGATCTTCTGGCTGGAATCAGGCTTCTTTCTGCTACATTCTGTCACATCCTGGGGCAGGAGTTAGGATTTTAGTCATGAGGGATTGGAGATCAAATAAAGGATGAAAGATTCACCTGAGAACTGAATAGCCACCAAAATGCAAAATTCAGGCAGCTCTGATCAAGACTCAGGCTGGATGGCATAACTGGGATACAAAGTACATCTTTTGCTCCTGAGTCCAGCACTCTCTCCACACCACCACACTCCTCAGGTGTTCTTACGTGAGCATGGGCTTCACGCTGTTTCCCTTCCCTCCTTCCTTCCTTTCCTTCCTTCCCTTCTTCCTTCCCTTTCCTTTCCTTTTTTAAACCCAGTCATGGAGATGAGTTTGATAGTACTCTCCAGTTAGGCAGACAAGCTGGCAGAAACACCTACCTTAAATTGAGGTCTGGCATATATCCACAAGACAGCCAGTCCAGAGTAATGGGAAAGAAAGGGCTCAGTCCCACATAAACAAGCCAAACCCAACCCTTGATGCCAGTAGCCGCTCATGATCACCCTAAAAAACTAAGCCACCAGCCCACTAACTTACTTTAGTTCCCCACTGAGGAGTGGTTGATAGAATAATCTCACCTCTCCATTCCTTGCACTAACCCAAACCAGAATGGAGTCCAGTGTAGCAAAGGTAAGCTAATTGGTCAAAGCCAATACCTCTGGCTTTGATTTTATGGAATTTGGGTTCATATGAAATTGATAGAGGGTGTGTGTGTGTGCATGTGTGTGTGTGGGGGGGGGGGGGGTGTGGGTGTGTATGTAGGAGGTGGGGGCAGGGAACATAGACACTATTCGTGGCTCCCCTCTTCACCCTTTATAAGCAAGTGCTAAAAGAAACATTTAAAAAAATCACAATAAATTGAGCTTTTACAGGGTGACTAATACACTAATCCCCTATAGGGATAAACTGGGGTCTGGGCTACCTTTGCTCCTAGAAACACAGCACAGGCCCCAGCATGATATAATACCTGGTTTCTCCTAGACTTATTACATTAAAAATGTGTTACAGGTGCAGAAAAATTCCAATCTGGCAAAAGGTTGTTAGAAAAGGAGACCAAAAATAGAGGCAAGATCAGGTTTCCACACAGATCCAAGTGGAAAATTTACCCCCGCTGACTGGCACATTTCTGCTTGATGTCATTCCCACCCACCCCCACTCTCCTTCTCCTCCTCCTACTTCTTCTCTCTCCCCTCCTTCCCAATCAGGTCTTACACTAGAGAGGAAATAGGGGATAAAACTACTAGGGCTGGTATCCAGTCACTCCTGGACTTTAATTATGTCAGGAGTTGGCCCCAGCAACTCAACATGAAAGTAGTGACAAGTCTTGGTGTTTGCCCAAAGCAGGCGGGGTACTTCCCACAATTCTGAGCCACAAACCACTCTCTTTTCTCATGGTCAGTTGAGTGATGACCACTAGGCTTGGGGCTTCTTTCTGTTAGATCACAACACATATTGAGGCACCAGTTTGGAATATAGCACACGAGGGTGTGCTTCCTGACTCCACCTTGTCTAGTGATGTAACTAAGGCAAGATACTTCATTTCTGACCTCTTGTGTTTCCTCCCCTTCTTCCTTCAGCAAGAAACCCTACTTCATAGGGTTCCAAGGAAGATTAAATGAGTTAATATGTAAAGCATTAGAGAGTGGCACAAAGTGAGCACTCAATAAACGTTAGTAATTGTTATTATTTCTCTACTCGGAAAAATAATTCTAGGCCTCCTCGGGAGGTATCTAGGCCATCTCCTCCCATCCCTACCTTCCCATAAGACCCTGGTACTGGCTCAATCATCCGCTGGGGCATTGCACCACCACCTCTACCTTTCATAAGAACTAAGGAAAAGTTGTATAAAAACTGTATGGTCTGCAATGAGGTTTTCAAAACAGGTAAGGGCTTTAAGAAACTCTGGGTCTATAACTAATCTACTAATCCCTAGGGCCCCAGGGAAACTCCAGGGTCTAACCCTCTCAAATTCTTGACCCTCTCAAGTCCCAGACCTTCATTATGGGCCTTTCTCATATTTAGAAGAAAGAGAGAAATCCTTCACACACCTGTCTGGGAAGGATAAGAGAGTTACTATGGACAAATTAGAGTCCCTCTGAGCAAACTAATTGGCAGTGAGAGTACTTCCAATAGGGAGGACCCTCTCAGGTGCTGAGTTACCCAGACACTGATCTCCAGGGTCACCTTAATAACTGGAAACTTCACAGGTAAACTTTTCTTTGAAGCTTAATCTTTCACATTTGCACATTTTCAAGTTTATAACACTCTGTTACATCTATAATATCATTTGATCTTCATGAAAACCCAGTGAGATTGAGTGGGTAATTTCATTGTGTCTCATTCACAGATGAAGCTATGGATTTCAGGGAAATAATTCCTTAGGGTCATATTAGCAAAAAAGCAGCATAGGAGAAACTAGGGCCCAAATCTTCTGACACCTGGTCAGGTACCTTTTCCATTTTCCCAAGCTGCTTTACATGCCCTCCCCCTCCTTTTCTCTGTATCCTCAAAAAAAAAAAAAAAAAAAAAAAAAAAAAAAAAAAAGTGTCATCCTAGAGAGGATGTGCTAAAGTTTGCCTTCTGGCCCCTCCCAGCTCTGCTTTCCTTCTCCTTCTCCTTCGGCATTCCTGTCACCCTGTGTCTTCTCACACCTGCAATACCCAGGACCTACTACTTCTTCTGCCCTTTTCTGTTGTTGTTTCTTTTTTCCAGTACATTCCTGCTCTTTCTACCCCCAAGCAGCCCCTAACATGGGGATCAAAAACTACAGGAATCAGGAAGATGAATGAAAATGAGCCAATTGAGCTGCACATGAGAAACAATTAGGTTCACACAAAAACTTGTTTATATCAGTGTTCATAACAGAAAAAGAGTGGAAACAACCAAATGTAATGACTGATGAATGGATAACAAAAGTGATATCCATATAATGGAATATTATTCCGCCATAAAAATGAGTGAAGTACTGATCCATGCTGCAAAGCGGATGAACCTTGAGATCAAACATCACGCTAAGTGAAAGAAGCCAGACACAAAATGCTACATATTGTATGATTCCATTTATATGAAATGCCCAGAATATGCAAATCCACAAAGACAGAAAGTAGATGAGTGGTTCTAGGGGTAGAGGGAGGAGGGATGACAGCTAATGAATGCAAGTGATGGAGTGATGAAAATGATCGGGAATTAGGTAGTGCTGAGAGCAGCACAAGCTTGTGAACATAGGAAAAAAACACAGAATCTCACACTTTAAAAGGGTGAATCTCAATTTTAAAAAAAAGGAGCAAGTGGAAGTAACAGAGACTACAATAATCTGGAGGGCCCTTGTGCCATGTAAAGAACAGCCCATTCAGCCACAGCCAACTGCAGTGGAAAAAAGTGGTCCCAATGTTGAATGTTTTCCCATTTTTAAAGAGAAGTTAAAAATCTAGAGTTTTGGATAAAGTATCCTTATTTTTAAAAGTTAGGAAATAATTTAGAAAATTTAAATTCTTTGCAAACCCTATAATCTTGGGCCCACAAATACCTGGGCCACCATTTTCTGACCTTTGCTGTCCCTGGTCAATTCAGTTTCCATCCCCTGTGCAAAACTAAAGCCCTGTGGTTACTGGAAAAGCAGGTCATTCCTCTAACAAACTCTTAGGACACCTGGTCAATGGAGGGCAGTTGGATATACCTTTCCTGGTCACTGAACCAGCACAGCATAGTCTCTCCCTGAGGCCCAGCTCCACACTCCACTACCTCTGGGCCTCTCACTTCATATTTAATAAACATTTTTTCAGCACCAACTAGGTGCCAGGAACTCTTCTAGGTGCTATAGGAAAAACAAATGAATAAGTCAAGGTCCCTGCTCTCAAGGAGTTCAGTCAAGGGAGGGAGACAGACTTGTAAACAAATCAAGGTAATACAAGGCAGAATTAAACCAGAGCCTGATAGCAGTACAAACAGCGTACTATGGGAGCACAGACAAAGCAGCTATTAATTCTCCCTGGAAATATCAGGGAAGGCGTTGTAGAAGAGGTGACATTTGGTTAAGCCATGAAGGGTAAATTAAGTTCACCAGGTGGAGAAAAAAAAGAGAAAGAGAGGGTAGGGAGGAAGGAGGAGAGAAGGAGGGAGAAGAAGAGGAGGGAGAGAAAAAGAGAGGGAAGAAGCAAGGGGGAGAGAGAAGAAGGAAGGAGGAAGGAAGAACTCA